GGTCTGGACTTAGTCGAAGCTTTGCGATTTTGAGAAACATTCTTTAACTTTGGGGGGGGGGGGTATTTTACATGAAGCCCCAGAAACAATTTCAGAATTTTCTCAAAAAGGTTCTTTAAATTTCTTGTAAGAATAGAGTAAAATACACTTATAAAGGTGGCATACGTCGTTAACTCTGAATTTTCGATCATTACGATCAAGTATGAAGTTTTTTGGCGACTACAAAATTGACGATAGAGATTTTTCCTTCAAATAAAATTTGTGGTCCATAATTAGTTCTTTCATTAATACCATGTGCATTTGTATACTGTTCGCGCAATATTGCGTGCAATATGTGCAATTTTTAAAAAATAACATAAACAAATTTTTTTCAAACGTGGCTCAAAATTTGTTCTTTAAACTTTTGGCAGGGAGATTGAGTTACTCTACGTAGCGACATCATTGCCATATTGCTCTATTATTTTGTTTTTACAAAAATTTAATTTTTTTACTTGTCTCTCACGTCGATTCTATTTGCATTAGCGGCGATTTGTTCACATTATTGCTTTGTAAGTAAATGCCCTTTAAATGATGCCATATAAAGTTTCTCGAAAAGTCAAAAATTGTGAGAACTAGCTCAAAATTCCTTATTTTTAGAAACTCATAAATAACATTTTCTCACAAACGGCTCCAAATGGTTTATTCAAACTTTTGATATGGATAGAGGTAATTGCAGAGTTCACGATGTCATAAAATTAATTTTGCTGTATTATTTTGCTTTTTTAAAAAAGCAACATTACTTTTACACAAATGTAATTGTTTTGAAATACCATTAATATTCACATTTCCAGCAATCTGTATATATTATTGCATTTGTGAGTGGAAGAGCTTCAAATGACATCCAATGAAGTTTTTCGAAAACTCAAACGATTTCTGTAAAAAGGATCTTTAAATTTACAGTAAACGACATTTTCATAAACAAGGCTCCAAATTTTTCAACCACAATAATATTCTTAGAGTAATTTTCGTTTCTGCCGTTAGGAAACTAAAAAATGGAGCAAATGTATAAAAAATGTTTGAGCGGCGATAGATGGCAGTTGGAAAGAGGATGGAACACGATTCAAAAGCTAGTACCGGTTAATGAAATTAGGAATAACAGGCCAAAGAAATTTGTAATAGGACAATCCTGTAAACAAAAAACGAATAAAATTCAATTGAATATTACTACGAGAAAGTCTGTGACATCCTGTAGCACCACCAGTTTAATTTTAAACCATAAAGTATTCATTAAATATAAAACTCTATATATTTCAATTTTGTTATATTGCAACGGCCCCGACAGGAGAAATCTCTGCATGAACTGTGGAGAAGGAGACCACCAAACAAAAGACTGCCTGCCTATTCTGCAAGGACAGCAATGTGAACCACCAACATCGTCCGGGCAGTAAATTTTGTACGTCGTTTCATAACGCGCTAGCCAAGCAAAATAAACAATGGAGCTAAAATTCCTGCAAATAAACCTAGGGAAAGGCAGGCAGGCACAAGACCTATTCCTGCAAATGGTACAAGAAAAAAGAATAGATATAGCCATAACAATACAATAAGGAAGAACAATACAGGAATCCAGTCTCAGGAACATGGTACCAGGATCTATCCGGCAAATCAGCTCTCTACGTCGCCAACCCCGATCTGAAAATTCGAAGGGTCGAAGAAAAGAACAAGAGCTTCGTATGGATCGAAGTAGGGTCTGTTCGAATCTATAGCTGCTACTTCTCACCGAATGACCCCTTTCATACATTCGAAATAGAAGTGCATAACCCAGAAGATGACATTCGTACCGCTACTGGAGAAGTCTTAATAGCCGGGGACTTCAACACGAAATCCTCGGAGTGTGAGTCATCACGAAGCGACAGAAGAGAGTCTCTTGTCACAGACATGGTAGCTAGGAGAACCTCATGGTGCTGAACAACGGAGGAGTAGCAACATACGAGAGATACAACTCGAGGTCAGTCATAGACCTGACCCTGTTCTCAAGGAAAACCGCGGGACAAATACACAAATGGACGGTTCTGGAAGACGTCTCTCTCAGTGATCATAAATATATAACAAAATAAAACGCAGGGAATTAAAGTACGGGAAAAGAAGCTGAAACCCTCATGGAACGTGAACAAACTATACCAGAAAGCTCTAGAAGTGTTCCTGAAGAAATAAGCGACCCTGAACGAATTAAATTGGACAGAAGGTCCAGGAAACAAACTAATGGGTCTAACGATTAATACAGTCGAGGAGGCGTGCAACCGATCTATGCCAAAGTGGTCGAAAACCAACCCCACTAGGAAACCAATGTACTGGTGGACGGACGAAATCTCAGAACTGAGAAAAAAAAAAAAAAACGAGACGTCAGTACACGCGCTCCAAAGGATCGCAGACATTAAGAGAGGTTCTTCGACAATGCAGAACGGACCTAAAACACGCTATCAACAATAGTAAAAGCCATTGCTGGACGGAGCTATTAAAGGAAATAGACAACGACCCGTGGGGAAAATCGTACCAATTTGTCACAACAAAACTAAATTGCTGGCGGAAAACTCCCGGATTGGATGAACATACATGGGTAATCCAAATCATAAAGAATTTGTTTCCATCGCATCAGAAACCTTCGATAGAACAATGCCTGCCCTGTAAAATTACAGAAGACCAAATGTTTTCCCCAGAAGAGCTACAGAAAGTATGCAGTACCCTTAAGAAAAAAAGGTCCCAGGACTCGACCGGGTACACAACGAAATTCTGAAGACAGTGGCAAAAGCCCAGCCCCAACTTCTTCTAAAAGCATATAATAGATGCTTGAAGGAAAACGTTTGCCCGAGAGTATGGAAAAAGCTGAAACTTGCTCTCTTCTTAAAAGGCAGCAAACCACAACACGAGCCAACATTTTACAGACATGATAGGAAAGGTATTCGAGGGCCTGATTCTGCAAAGACTACAGACATGACTAGAGGAAACACACGGTCTGTCGGAAATGCAATATGGCTTTCGAAAATGTAGATCGATAGTCGACACTATCAAAACAGTCGTAGAGAAGGCAAGAGAAGCCAAAGAGGGAGCAAAAAAAGTATTCTGTGCCCTCGTATCGCTCGATATCAAGAACGCCTTTAACTCGGCCCAATGGGAGGAGATTATCAAGGCTTTGATAGAGAAGAACACCCCAGAGTACCTCACCAGTATGATAAGGAGCTACCTAAGTGACCGAAAGACAATTTACGAAGGCGAAGGAGAATCCATTGAAATCGAGATGACCTGTGGTGTTCCACAAGGTTCGAAACATCGTCCTGTCTTATGGAATATTATGTTCGACAACCTACTGAGCATAAAACTTCCGCAAAATGTCTCAATAGTGGGCTTCGCAGACGATTCAATAATAGTGGCAACTGCGGAAACATCAGCCTTACTAGAGGTCATCGTGAACGACACCCTGAGAAGAGTGATGAGATGGCTGACGTCCAAAGGGCTGGAAGTGGCAGCCCATAAAACGGAAGCATTGCTTATCACGGACAGACGATCCTTCTCCAACCCAACATTCCTAATAGGCAAGGAAAAAATACAATGTCGCTAGAGCCTTCGCTACATAGGAGTGGAAATTGACAGGAAGCTAAGTTTTGGACCACACGTTACCGAGACGACGGAAAAAGCCCTAAAAATAGCAGCATCGCTTTCAAGATTGATGCGGAACACCAGGGGCCCCAGCGACTAGACGAGACGAATTCTTATGAGTGTGATGCATTCGAAAATGCTCTTTGCAGTCCCGATCTGGGCAGAATCTCTTCAAAACAAGAATTTGAGAAGGAGAATGCAGTCTGTCCAGAGGAAAGGAGCTCAACGCATAACATCGGCGTATAGAACTGTATCCGGAAGTGCTGTTCTTCTGCTGGCGAACGTCCCTCCTATTGACCTGCTTGCTCTAGAAAGGAAAGAAGTTTACGACTACTCCCATGAGCAAGAAGGCATCGGAAGGCGAACGCACCAAGACACGGATAGTGCAATTAAAAGTGCTAAAGAAAACATGATGCACCGCTGGCAGAAACGCTGGGACAGATAGGAGACCGGCAGATGGACTCATAGGCTCATCCCGAATGTATCCAAATGGATAAGCCGCAAATACGGGTCTGTGACATACCATTTAACTCAGGCATTCACAGGGCATGGATGTTTTAAGGCATACCTTAAAAGATTCAGCAAGACAGAAGACGCGGTATGCTTCTACTGCAACCATGAATGGGACGACGCCGAACATACGCTGTTCCATTGCCCGAGATGGGACACGCTAAGGCATCGCATGATATGGGAGGTCGGGTGTACTGTCTCACCAGAAAACATGGTTACACTAATGATCTGTAACAAGGAGAAGTGGACAGCAATAGAGAGAGATATCACCGCCATTCTCAAGACGGAAGAAGACGAAAGAAAGCAGTCATAGTTGAACCTGAATAGCACCTCGAAGTAAAACATCTGACACCATCCTGAAGTAATGTCTAATTGCGGTTCCAGGGTGGATAACGCCAGGAACATAAAGGATTTGTGGTTTTAGTGGGTAAAAATCTCACACTGTTGAGGAGTGCAGACGAAGGTCTTTTGAAGACTTCCACAGTTCCCCTCGAAATAAAAAAACAAACAAAAAAACAACAACAGCAACAACAACAACAACAACAACAACAAACAACAACAACATACAAATCCCCCCGCTCCCCCCAAAAAATTGTATCTGAATTCGCTCCTGATTTAACAGAATACATCTTCGCATTCAACCATCTTCTTGGGGTATAATTAAATATGCCAAATTAGCCAAAATTCATAATCTTAAAACTATTGACAGAAAACCTTTAAAGGACTCAGTAATGTTCTTTTGCTACATGTTTTGAAAAAGTCAGTAAAAACAATATCCGCCATACTTTGTGAAATTTCTGAAATAATTTAAAATTGTACTGAACGTTCCTGGTCTAGAGAAACGTGTAGAGATTTTGGAAACTATTCAGTTTTGTGCGGAATAACGCGTCAAATTGGTGAGTTATTTCGTGAGAGGGCAATAGTAACGGATTCGGTTGCTAATTTTACTATTGTCATGTTAAGGAGTCAAGAAATAATGTGTAAGTGCAATCGTGTTTACATTTTCGGGTAAAAAAAGTGACAATGTTGGCTGCACTAGCGCTCAGCTGCTCGAGGCTGTCAGATATCTCAGTGCTATCGTGAAGTGTTGTTACTTCCTGGGTTGATAATTTAGGTCATCCGGATCAGAATCCATTGCAGGGGTTAACCCCGCTGCTATATCTACATTCTCACTTTTGAAATGTATCGCACATTGGCATTGTATGATGATACATGCCCAGAAGCGCAGAACATAGGGTTTTCTGGTTGTACTCAATGACCTTTGCGTGTAGCTATTGCAATATCGTTGTTGATGGCACTGCTTGTAATATGTCATGTGGGGCGAAGTCGTGGTAATGTAATTTTACAACGGGTATATAATTTAATACGGCGCGTGCTATAAATGATGGACCCTGGCCTCGAGAATGGAATTGGGTACCACTCTGGTAAGAAATCCTTTCAGTTAATTTACATTAAACTGATTTTGCCAATGCGTGGCTTTATGTGTATATCAATATTTTAAGTAGAAGTAAACGTTTCGTCTGCAGCATGCAGGTGTTGATGTTTTTGAGGTTTTGCATAACATTGTCAGTTCAAATCAAGACTTGTATGTTTCAGGGTTATGGCACCCTACTCCAGTGTCAAGTGTGTATGGCAATCATTCAAAGGTGTGTTGTGATTGAAATTTGCCCTCTTATCATGTCAAGTGAGAAGGGATTGCTCTATATTAAAGTGTGTATTCTTTCAGTCCTCTGTATTATCATCCTTATGGAAAAGTGAGATTTTGGGTCTTTTAAAAGAAAAAGGAACAAGAAAATTGATCTTCTTGCTCATCTTTTGTGCAACATGCTATTGTGTACTTTTGGTATGGAGTTCAAGCACTCAAAGCATGTGTAAGTAAATGCATTGCTCCGTTCTTGTGAATTGGCTGAGGTGGTGATATTGGTTGCTGCAGAACCAGTGGTTACAAGTTGAGATTTAGTTTTTATTAATGAAATGTGACCAAGGAGAAATGTTATTATGAATCAAAATGTAATTCAATATTTTTTAGGCATCTTCACTGGATGCAATTAGCCATTTTTATTTCTTTATGAATTGACTAATAATAAGACAGTAAATGGATATAATTCCAATCTATCATTATTCTACAGCTCTTCATTTCTGTAAATACATCTTGTACTATACATATGTTTCATTCAATTTTCAACAGTTTGCCAATTTTTTCAGCCTTGCTTGCATACTCTTACACTGTAGGATTTAATTTGCTAAGGTAAGGATGTTTTTTGTTTTTTTAAAATTTATTTATTATAATTTGATTGGTTTGTTAACAATTGTTTTTTCTTATTCCTGCAGTCTGCTTATCTGTGTCTTATCTCTCTGGGTTGAACATCAGCCTCCTACTCCACTTTTTACTTTTGGATATGACAGATTTGAAGTTCTGGCTGTGTTCGGGAGTACAGTCTTGGCACAACTGGCATCTTTATTTATAATTAAGGAGAGCATTGAAAGACTTGTTGTTGAACAACCAGAAGTTCACATGTACGTTGTTGCTGTATTTTTTTATGGTTAAAATCTAGTATATGGTACACCCTTAGAGAAGCATGGCGGCGGGGTTTAAACCCTAATTACTGTATGTGCTCTAATAGAAATTAATAAAACTTACGGGTAGGTGATTTTCATGGTTCGCCCTTCATATGCTTTGCTCCTGCCGCATTGTAATGCCAATTTACTTTCAAAGGCAAGTTTTCTCGCTTCGCTCGCCCGGATCCAAGTCGCGGCGAGGCTCGGGCCTCCGGTTCTCGCCTTCACTATTAACATCCTTGAGTCTAACATCCTAGGTTGTACCGTATACTACATTTCAGCCTTTTTTTTTTCTAGATTACAAATTTAAGGCTTATTACATTTTATTGTGATGGGAGAAGTGTAGTGCTTTTATTTAGAGAAGGATAGGTTTGTTTATTCTTGGATTTCCAGCATTCTATTAATGTACGTTTCAATGGAATGAGTGCATTATAGGTCGGTTGAGATTTTAACACCAGTTTAATGGCATTGTATTTTGACAGTAGTTGTTGTACACTTGTTTTGGTTGACTGTTAATTTATGATCCTATTCTATAATGCCATGCAATGTAAAGTATATCCATACAAAACATTTGCATTCAAAGTAATATGTATATGTAGCATTTAATGGTTACTTTCTCCTTTGGGTACACTCTGCAACTTTAGTGCACTCTTTTCTGTAAACAATGAGGCTCATCATGGTGCCAAGTTCAGGTGGACAAATTTGTTTCTTAGCTTTGTTTCAGATATTATATTGGAACTTGTATGTATATATGTGTGTAATTGGAAAAATATTTCTTGTAGATCGATGTAACCTATTTATAATTGGAAACCTTGATGCTGCGTACATGAAAATAGGCTGTCCTGAAATGTACCCTGGTTGAATTATGCAGATGCAGTTTTTTTTAAAAATTAGTTTGTCTCTGAGGTTTTGTTATTGGTTTTTTATTCCATTTTTTTACTGTTAGATAACTTTGTGGTTTGTTATTATGCACACTTTTTACTAATATTTCGAAATGTCGTTAATAATATAAATTAATGAATTCATAGATAATACAGATGCATTTGTAAATATTTTTCACAATGTGGTACTACACATACCCAATTCATATTACGTGTTGTTCAATTACGCTATCTCACAATGAACCTGCAAGGTTTATATAGTAGTATTGTCTGATTATTACACTAGGCTTCATTGTTCAGAGAAAGCATGGGACTATTGTAATGGAATCATTTTAACTCCAACTATCAGTTGTTGGTTAGTATAGGTTGGTATAGTGGGCTTGGTAGCTGTTGTTAATATAGTCTTCATGATTATAAAGTGCTGTACCACTTAACCTGACAATATATCCATTTTCACTTTGGACCTAGGTGTTTGTAGTATCATTCTTTTACCCTCTACGACAATAATTCTCTGGGTTGTGGAGGGTACAATTAGTTTCTCCAAAAGATAATATTATGAACAGGAACAAGAAATAAAATTATGGTTGAATTATTGCTTTCAACTCAACTTCTGTTTTACAAATTTGTCTAGGCTTGTGTAATTTCTGCGTACATAAACTGGTAGAAGGCAGAATTTTCTCTTATTTGCAACATTGTGAATCATCTATAATAATGTTGGTTCGTAGAAAACATTAGTGGAAACAATTTCAAATTTAAAAATGATTACAAACCTGTAATGTGTGTGCAAAAAAGCAGTCTTGCAGAGTAAAATTAACTGCTAGTAGACATGGTAATTGTAAGATAATTATTCTAGATTGACACAATAGGGAAACAATTGAAAACATGTTCTGTTAAAAAATTAAGAATAGTGAGTCAAAGTCATGAACTTAACAAAAAAAAATGGTGCTTCTTAGAGAAGAATAAGAAAAATGCTTAAATTGTTACAAAGTTACTGCTGTTACTACTATTGTTAGAAAGTTCTGTTGTGAATGTTTTCAGTCTAGATGTTATTGAACCTCAGAGAAGGCAGCACAAAGAAGCTGTGGTATTGTGGCTTTTTTTGTGAGGAAATTGTAATCCTTGTCCGATTGTATTATATCTTGAAAATTATGAAATATTCTTAAGCAATTTAATATTTGTTTGTATTTTTCTCTTTAGAGGCCGTCTCTTATTAGGAGCTGGAGTAGCTTTTACCAGCCACCTGGTTGTGTTGTATGGGTGTAGTCACACTGCTCTTGACCATGTAGCAGCTGCTTCCTCTTCAAGTTGGCTTCAAGAACATGTGTCTGACATCAGTCAAAGGTTTGATTATTGTATGCATAGTCTTGCTTGCTTCTTGTGTGTTATCATCTGTTGTAGTATTTGTGACTGTCCCTTTTTTGTTCTGGTTATCTTTACTACTGTAGTGAACTTTGAACTTACTAGAATGAATGACCTTATCATATCTGAAAGAAAGTCAATAAATAGAATGGCAATGTAGCAATTGGAATTTTCACAGAACTTGAGTGATCTAAAAATTGGGCATTAATTCAAATACTTTTATTCAGAACTGAATATTTAAGCCTTTGAAAAATTAAGTTATCTAGGAAGCTAAAAAAGCTAATGGGTCTGAAAGGTTATCTACCAGCTTTTTATTACAAATGGTGTGCTACATTTCTTCTAGAAATGAAACTGACCAAATATTTAATTCAGCATGTATAAGAAAAATGAACATGGAATATTAATTAGTAAAGATTCTCTATTGACATTTTCTGATAAAATTGAATAAAATGTAAACTCAATGTATGATTCAAAAAATACCATGTTTGTTGTATATAAAGCTAATAGAAGTTATTTATTTACCCAATTAGTGAGAGTTTCATGATAAGAAGCATTATCTCATTCTAATTTTGTATTTACATCTGTTTGAAAATTGACGTAGAGAATATTGTAATTGCATTGAGTAGGATAATATGTACAGAATAACATCACTGTAATATGCATATGAGCTAGAACACTTTTTCTTTATGTAGAGTAAATGTAATATGAAATTTAAATGAAAATGCTATTTCTTTTGTTTTCATTTATTTGTAAAAATTAATTTTGATACATCAAAATTCTAGTCTTTGCCAATGTTGCATTTTGAAAATTTTATTTTTTTTAAGTTTAAAATTTTATTTTCCAAATTTATTAAATTCATTGTACTAGATTCAATAAAGTGGTTACTAGTTACTTGTCCATTATTAATTGTAAAGATTGTTACTTAATCAATTAACTTTCAAAGTTGTTATGATCTTGGTAGTTTTTTATAATGTGACTTGCATATGTAAGCATAATCATATTGTTGAGATTTCCGTAATATATTTACTCAATATTTACTTCAAATGATGTGATTTGGTTGTTCTGTTGTTAGACTTTATATTTAAAGTTTCAGTGATCAGAATATTCTGTACTGTTTGACAATTCTTGTTGTCTTAAGAATCATGCCCAATCCGCAATTTACAGTACTTGGAAAAATCACAAAATCAACATTAGAATGGCAGCTGGTTAAAGAATTTCCAAAATAAATATAATTGTTTAAATAATATGCAAAACGTATGGCCATATAATAGAAACACTGGGCTACGTTGTTAGTGGCAACAATGTTATATCTTCAGTTGTCTTCTTAACATGTGGGAGCATGAAAAGTCTAGTAATACATTTGGAAAACTTATGATGGGTGGGGCCTGTTTTGGTTAATGACATATGAGAAAGTGCATTATGAGCTGACATAGAGAGATGCAAGTTGACTAGTATTCTAAAACATCATAGAACTTTCTCTTCATATACATGTAATCTCGTTCTGAAATAGGAAAGCCAGGGTATGAAAAATCTGTGCAAACCTGGCCTCTCAATGACATATCATGGAAGTTAAGATTGACTTGCAGCTTCTCTATTGAATATCGCTGGCTAGATGAGTGGGAGACCTGAGAAATGGCATATTTGGAGTATAAGAACTTTCATGCTCATATTGGACAAAAAAACTTTGTATATTTTGAATGTGGTGGTAGCAATGGCAAGTTCAATCTAGTAGCCTTCAATCGCACTGCAAAATCCATTGCTTGAGCCTTTTTTTATGGGAAGATATAACATGGTTGTCATCTTTTGCAAAACCACTCTCATATTATGGTATTACACATGTGTGCATGTGTGTACACACCCACACAGTTCATCTTAGAATAAGTGTTACAAAGTTTTAAGATATGTAGAGGGATTAAAAAATAATGTATTTTGTCAATGATGTAGTGGAAATCCCATAAAATGAAATTACACATGTGGCCTGATGCACATATTCAGCTGGCCACGTTCTGACATGGTCAAGGCGATTTCATATATCTGCCGAGCATCTGTGCGAACAGAGTTGCCTAACAACCAGGTGCAAATGCCATGTGTATTAATGCTTATACCTCTGCATGCAATTTCCTGCTTTATATTCATTAACAAAACGTTATTCTTTTCTACCCTTCAACCATCTAAAAGTGCCCCTAGACATTTGTAGGATGTATTCTCAGGCTGTGTGTTGATATACATAAAACACATACAAATTTACACACACACACACACACACACACACAGGTGTCTCAGAGTAATTGTTTCTTGCTTCCAGGGCTTGTAGAAAGGTTGGAAATAACATTTTGTCAATGAGCAAGTGGGAAATTGCATATAATGAAGTTATTCATGTATTCCTGTGGCATTTGAACCTGATCTTTAGTCTACGCCTTATGCAAAGATCTTGGGAGGTTACATCTGATGCAGTGAAGATTTCATATATCTGTCGAACATATCAGCATTCACGACTAATGACTACAGGACGCTTCAGAGCCATGTGGCACAATGCAGGGCAATGTGGATTCTATGGGGAGGGATGGTAGTTAAAGGATCTCACAAATCTTTTGTTTTAAAAAGTAATGATTTAGATATTTTGTTATTATATTGAATTTTTAAAATTTTGAAGAGCAATTGCAAAATGTTTGTTTTGTTACTCTTAGTTTGTTTGGAAATAAGTGAATAGCTATTTCATACAGTATACAGTATATCTGTCTCGCCCAGAATTGATCGGGACAAATAAATTCCGATTTAGGAAGGTTTCCATTTTATGACTCTTGTAATATTGATATTTCATTCGTGAAATGAGTAAATGACATGACTTAATTATAATAAACATTTACATATAACGTGTTTAGTGTTACTTATTGGTGGATGGAAATCACCAATAAATGAATATTAAACATTCTTCATTGACAGTTTCTGAGTTTCTCTTGCTCTACAAGTTTGGCCTTTTCATCTAAGTATACAATTTTATGTTGTTTTTTTCAAACATGGTTAAACTGATTCTGAAACTCAAAAAAGTACACACTACCCCATGGCCTAGTGGCTGCAGTTGGACTGACTCTGAATGCAAAATGTATAACAGCCCAGAGAACTATAAATTTCTGATAGCCTTGCATGGCCTTGAGGAGTGTCTCTGGCTGAGGGGTTATGATTTTCAACATGGGCAGGGAGATGCGTGAAAGAAGCTGTGTATTATGTTCAGGCCTTAGCCGCCATCCTGATTGAGGTTTTTTGAGTTTACTCATTTGCTTAAAGTGTATGCTGGGTTGGTCCCTAGTTTTTTACTCCCAAATGTAAATGTATGTAACTTCAGTAGTTAGGCAGAAGAGCAGGCCCTATGGCCTGAGCCTCGCCATTAATATTATTATTATTATTATTATTATTATTATTATTATTATTATTATTATTATTATTATTATTATTAATTATTTTACCTTCACTGATAGTATCAAATTTAAAATTTAAAAAATTGTATGGAGTGCGAGTTAAGAATTATGATAGTTATGTGTATATTATAAATTTGCCTTCAGTCCATCTTTTTAAAGTACTGTTTTACTTCTTAGAGTATCTGACACTTCTTTGCAGCCACATTAGATACATTCCAAGTAAATGAATTATGAAATCATGTATTGTATATTACAGTGTTAGGTATTCTACCGTATTTAAACTTGATTCAACAGACGTTGATAATTGGTGTATTTATTATGATTTGTACTGTGTTTTCTTGGCAAATAATAGCAAGTCATATTTGACTTGTGGGAATGGTCAAGTTACATTATTTCTGTGTGGTACTTGTTTCAGTGTGTGTTCTGTTATGCCAGCCCTTGGGGGACTTCTGTTACCTCGTGTGAATCCTATGTTATTAGTTGCATGTACAGGAGGTTTCTCATTAGTATTGGCTGATATCTTGATTGAATTCAAGTAAGTAACTTTTTTGTTTTATTGGGAACAAGGGGATATTTTTGTTTCTTCTTCTTTTTGTTTTCGTTTGTTCTTTTTTCCTAGTGATGTAATGAATATTGTGAGCAGAGTTTCAAGCACTAACATTTTTTCTGGAATTTTAAATTCTAATGTTTTCACTTGGATTTGTTAGTTAATGCTTGTGGACTAGATTTTTTCTCCTCTCTTCAAATTATACATTACTTATTCTTATCAGATTATTTAGTGTCTCTGAAGGAATAAATATTCCTAAATAGATTAAAATAACAGAAGATTTATAGGAAATTGCATATCTGATTCAAATTTTAGCAATTTAATTATTTTTTGGCATTACTTGCAAGCTGAATCTTGCATGTTCCATTTTCTGTGACTATTTTTAAAAAGTATCCAGACATAGAAACATTTGATTGTACTGTTTCTTGTGTGTGAATGAAAATCTTATCGGCTTCACATGTAGCTGGTAATTCCTGTTATTTCTTCAGAGTAATACTAGAGTAATTTCATGTTCACATCTAAGTATTTAAGTATAGTTCTGATCAATCCTGTAGCATGTAATAAATCTGTTTTGATTGTAAATTATTCAGTGTCATTATGTCACATGGACCTAAAGTATTTTACAATTAGTGTTTTGTTTTTACTGTGTATATATGTCACTTAACTGCAACAAATTGAACGCGGAGAGCATTAAGTATATTATTTTCAAACCTCCAAAATCTTGTTAGAGGAAATCAGCAACTTGGACTATAGTGAACCTACTCACAGCAGTGCTACGACTATCTTACATATACCACCTACTTTTTCTGATAAATTTTAATTACTTTACCATTACATTAAAAAAATTCTTCTAAATTATATAAAACTAATTGGGAATTGATGAACATGTTAATTTAATTCTAGGGTGATTAAATTCAAGGAGCAATAATTAAGAGGAACAGACTTGTTTTAGTATTAAGAGTTCCTGGTAATACAAATAGGAAAACAACTGGACTTCTTTCATGAAAATTTTTATAACAAATTATAATAGTAAAGTATTTGGAATATAATGCTCAATTTTATTTTGTGTTTTTACTACCATATTAGTAGAAAATTAATAGAAGAGATTAGTGAATTGTGTAGGAGCTTTTATAAATCAGTGCATGTAGATTCCTATTAGTGAACTTGCATTATTGCAACATTCTCTTCTGTGTTCATATAATTATTATACTTACATTTTATATCTCCTTAAAATGTTACAGAGTGTAAAATTGTTAGTTATATTACTGTTATATATTCTAAAATTATTTTTGAAGAAGTGGTGAATAACTTGAGACAGGCACTTTAGGCACTATAAATTTCTAAAATTGGTAGGTAAAATGACATTTGAAACTACTAAAATAGGCAACAAAGGCAAAATAAAATCCAGTGGTGCAGATGCAGCAGCCGTTGCCTCTGCTGAGGAGGCTGCTGGTTCAAGTCTTGCATAGGCATGGTCATATTTGTGATTGTCCCGTCACCCCTCATTATTATCCTATCTCCTCATTATGCATAATTCAAGGTGTAACAACCTTTTCTTATGAAGGGATACAGCTGGAAAAAGCCGATCCCCATAATTACACACGTTAATCATGTAGCATGGTCAGAATTATCCTATATGCAAATGATAATAATAAAAAATAATAAAAATAAAAAATTCACAATGGCTGTTTAACACAATGGATTAGAATATAGATCTATTTGATAAAATATGATTTTTACGACAATTTTAATAAATATAAGGCAAATGTTTTGAAAAGTCAATTAGTCTTAAGACAAAATATCTGAGTTTCCAAACAATTTTGGCTTAGTTAAAACAACTAAGTGCTTTCTTCAATTTTCTATGGTTACATTGTGCCTTCTGTCAGACTCTCTTCAATTGAGAGAAAGGTCTCTGAACAATGACAGATTTTAATGGAGCAAATCTTAAACACAATAGGTCAGAGCAATCCATTTCTGCATCAACTAAATTGTCACCATTTAGAATTTTTGAAATATCTGTATATCTATAATTTTGGGAAAATACTTCTTTACATCATTTTTCTGTTACCATACCTATAATATTTCTTATTGCCACTTCTTTTTCACTTCACAAAATCATACCAATTATAGTTTTTCCCCTGGCATTTTCTGTTGCTGATATACAGCGTTATCCACAAGTTCCAGTGATTTCACTAGAGCAACTGCCTATCTTCATGTTCAGTAATGCCTAATGCCTCTGGCAAAAAAAAAAAAAAAAAAAAAAAAAAAAAAAAAAAAAAAAAAAAAAAACCGAAATGGGCTGTAATTAGGTAATTTTGCAACAGCTGCTGAAATCTGTGTACCTTATTTTGTCAAGCCAAGATGAGGAGGCAGGAGCAGATGTGGAACAGTATGTTTAAATATCTGTATTCTTGAAGGAAATTTCAAAATGATACTGTTTATATTTGCAATCAATGTGTCTACATCTGGAAATAATATCTTGCTTCTTCTGCCGCTTCGTAAAATGCTTGAGCTCCGCAAGTCAATACAGGAACATGAAGCAAATACAGGAACAACTGATTCAAAGCTTTTGCTGCTTTTTTCATTTACAGTGCTGCATCAGTAAAATAATTATGGAGCCTTATTAATGTCTATAAATTTGTAAATAACTACAATGGATGATTAGATCTATTGACTTTTTCTACATTCAGTGGTGGACAAAATTGATTTCATTGAATAGTTTTCTAGAGAAGAGTGTTCTGACCAATACTGACATTAGCTAGAAAACAGCCTGTGGCACCATTGACAAGACAATAGAAATCCAGAAATTGATGTTTTTTGTTTCTTCTTGTATATTTTTTCTCTGCCTCAAAATACTGATTGAGGTAACATTTGCATGAAGTTGATTAACTTAGCACAGAATCTTTGAAATATTAGTATTTTCCCAAAAAATGCCTTAATGGTAGATCTTGAAACTTCTTTCCATCATAATGTTGTCTTTGAAAAAGTTGCAGAGAATGGAAATTGTTGGGTTTTGACAGAGCACTGAAAATGAAAACAATAATTATCACTATCGCTGGCAAGGAAATATTTTTTTCTTGCTTTATTCCCAATGCCGGCAACAAAAGTTAGAGATTACAGGAAGAAATGAATGAAATCTTTTCTTTTTACTTCAAGTCAGGGACTAGACATGGTAGTTTTGCATGTTAATCGCTGGACCTGCCTAGCAGCTTTCTGAAGTGACACACACTGGTCCCAGCGCCAAAAACCTAGCCAAAATATGAAGTTTACACTTTATTTGCCTGAAATTTTCTTGTCTGGAGCCCTTGCATACAAATTTTCAAGCAAATCAAGCCAAACCTTTGTATTTTGGTTGTGGACATGTGGGACTAGTGTACTTCACTTCAGACAGATAGATCTAGCTTTTACTCTGCAAAACGATCATGCTGCACCACTGTTAAAGTATGAGAAAATATTTCACTCTTCACTGTTCGATACTGCTTACTCTTCAAATAAACTAACTAAATGTTTAAAAAAGGTCCAAGGACTGTTCAATGTGAATTTAGGCAAAAACAAGAATTCATTATTGAAATCGGGCATTTATCACAATCTTGGAACCTCAAACATATCTATCATTATGATCATTTTGCCTAAGTTCGGTCTCTAGTCTTACAGGTTTTAGTTTTCTATTTGACTTGTAGCATTTAGCAGTTTTTAAACGATATATTTATATGCAAATTGTAAAATTTGTTGGTTCCCCAAAACACTTTGATATGATATAAATTGAGAAAATAGAAACAAGACCAAACATTCCTCTCCTATAAATTTAAAGTGATAATATTAAGCTTATTTAATTGTACATGTTTTGTATTGCATTTGTTCAGAATGTAAGGAAGTCAAACAAATATATTGAAAAACGAGATGGAAATATGAATGTAATGCAAAAATAATTAAATTATGAACTTTGTCCCATTGTGGGAAGTACACATGACATAATGATTTATGAAAATAGGTCTACTAGAATTGTGATGTAAATCATGTTAAAATATTTGCTGATACTTTTCATTTTCTAGAAATAAGTGTTAGAAAATTATTTGTGCTGGGAACTGGCTTCTTGATGTAAAGTGTTTTGTAATGGGGTTTTCAATATAATAATGTGTAATGAAATCGTTTCAGAGGGTGTTATGTGGTGGATACCCTAGCAGGCATTTGGATTGCTCTCACTATGTGGGCAACAATGCTGCCCATGAGTGTATATAGCGGAAAAGTTCTTATGCAGGTATAATTACATGAAATTATTTCAGTATTATTATGATAATATTTCATTTGAATCCTCTTGATTTGATTTTTCAGACCACGCCATCTCACTTAGTAGGCCAGCTTGACAAATGTCTTAGAGAGACTTTGACAATTGATGGTGTACTTGAGTTTCGAAACGAACATTTTTGGACTCTGTCTTTTGGGAAGATGGTTAGTAATCATCTAATCATCAGATTAGAGATTATTTTGTCTGTAAAATGTAATTTATATTATGATCTGTGAATAAGTTTTTTTTAATGTTTGTGTTTCAGGCTGGTTCGTTGCAAGTTCGTGTGAGGCGAGATGCAAATGAACAGATGGTTCTTGCCCATGTTGTTGATCGCCTATCAAGCATTGTGTCAGAATTGACTGTTCAAGTGTTTAAAGATGATTGGGCACTTCGCAGGGGTGTAGGAAGCATGGGAAGTGGAGTAGGCATTCCCACATCCTCTTTTCCTGTTATTCCTAATGATATTGCATTTGGAAATAATCATTCTCCCAGTAAAACAGGATATAGGTCATTTTCCACATCTGTCTCTCCTGCTACCAGCTTAGGTGACGCCCATCCTAGTCTTTCTTCTGGGAGTTTTCAGTCAAAAACAGACTTATCTGTGCCAATGAGCAGTAATTCTTACTTAAGTTTACCTTACTCGAGGACAGTACCTGGTGTTAGTGGTCTTGGCAATTCTTTGTCTATGTCTTCACATGCACTGAACACTGAAGCTGTGTCCCATTCTCATTCCCAGCCATCAAAATATCCTTCAATGACTGATGTTACATTTCTTCCTACTCAAAGATTTGATGTATCAACTGGCCGAAGAAAGAAAGAAAGTCCTTGCCCTGACAAGGAACATGTGAACAATTTTCAGAATTATCCCTTTAGTCCAAATTGCTCTGTATCTCCTAAAACAGCAATGCATCAGCCACATGAAGAAAACTTACTTATTTCTGGAGTAACTTCATTTGATGCTGAAAGCCTCACATACAGACCACGATGACAGTTTGTTGTAAAATATATATTATTTTTTGTCAAAGTGCTCTGTTGGTTTGTGCCAAAAAGAGAATATTTGGGACAAATTATCTGTGTTCTTGTGATTGAGAAAGCATTTTTTATTAAAATTAACATTACAAACTTGATTTATAATTACTTGAAAAAAAGATAGTCATTTCTTTTATGTGTCCTTGACTTATATCTGTTGTTAATGTGTAAATTTTTAAGTCATAAAATGGTGTGCTGCTGCATTATATTAATTGTTTTTGATAAGAAGCTACATCATAATTTCAAATTTAATGAGTCTACTTGTAAGTGTTAAGATTAAAATGTTTCTTGACTACAGAGATTTGGAAAATAAAAGTTTTTTTTTATAAAACAGTAATTTATTGGATTATTATTCTGAGCCTTTGAATCCTATCTTCTATTTTAGAAGTGTATTTGTACTTCACGCGGACCATATACGTGGCATGGATGATTAATGAATTAATTTTCGCGGTCTGAGATTAGTCTTCCTGATCTAGTCTCTGTGAATCATTTTCGCCTTTCGAAGTCGCCCGAGTATTGGTCAGCACGTTTCTTGCATATTCTGTGGAGGTGGCGAGCATAGTGGAGGGGGAAACTGTTTTATCCATGGCAAGGCAGTAGCATGCTCTGGTGGGAGGTGCTGGAAGTACTAGTCGGTTCTTCAGTTTGATAGGAACTGTGGTCGGGGCAGTAGGGAAGGCGCTGTGAACAAGCGAGGTTCTGTCGAGGAGTGTGAACATTTGTAATCATCAATGAGACGTAACGTGAAAATACTACTCTTCTTTTCAATGGCGTGGATGTTCGTCATCTTCTACTATCTCCAGATTTCCAGAGAGGATAAGGTTAGTTTCGAGCGGTGTCACTAAGAATGGTGCATGCTTTCTTTAGTAGAGCATTATAAGTCATGTTGGACTCTTTAAATTCAGCATATATAGAAATCTTCTATTTTACATGTGCAATTCAATTGGTAGGGGTGTTTCATGATGGACTGTAAATTTGTTTATTTATATTCAGGAAACTTCGCATGACAGTAGTGCATTACTTATAAATTCACATTACTGTTTGTTCATAATATATGTTATACGTCGGTGACTTCACGTTGATAAATTTTCTTGCAATTTGTAAGATTTATGTTCGCGTGTTATGTCAGAACAACGACGAAAACTGTGTTTATTCAGTTGTCAATATAGGTGTATCACGCGCATTGATTGTGAGGTTGGGCGAATGCGACAAATTCGAAATTATGTTGTCTTACTGCACTATTTAGAATTTACATTTAACCCCCTAAATGATATTTGTGTTGTATATACAGTATTAAGGCAGTCATAAATAATGTTATGCATTGGCCTGTTGACAGCTACATTTGACATTAACATTGTACAAAGCTGCTGTCAGCAGTGACAATTATCATATTCATCAAAATGAATTTTGTGTTATTTCTCAAATATACGCCCCGATTTTTTGTTACCTCTACCATGTGTCCACATTGTTGTCACTAGCATGGGGTCAACGCAGGCAGCCACCGCGTGGGGCCGATTGGTGTAGAACGCGGGAAATGGAAACTGCTTGGCGTCTCGTCCTGTCATGTAGGGATTGAAAACGTCACTCCACATATTTAGTGTCGGAAGATTTCATTTTCATTTGCTTGATATGAATATAAATGAAATAGTTGTTGCTAATTGTAAGCTACTTTTAAAGTATCTAGTATTCATAGTCAATGATGCGTTGTCTTGAATGCTAAGTGTAGTGTATCCTGTCTTTGAGTTCGCACTATTATACGAGTACTTTGATGAACTATTTGGATATTTTAACTGTTTTTATCTAGAAGTATTATTGTCATCATGTCATTATTTTCACATGAAATATTTCAAATGTATTATTTATTGTTTAAATGAATTTCATCTGGCATTTCTCAAAATCATTGCTGTAGATCAAATACTGATTAATGTAGAAACTTTAGGTACTGACACTTTAAATTATACAATTGCAAATCGTTTATGTGACAGCCAATTGTGTTAAAAAGGGAGCGCCAGTAAAGGGTTGCTTTTTGTTTTAATTGTGCCCGTTGGTCATGAGTTCTCGAATACTGTGTGCATTTATTCAATATTTTAAATATAAATTCGGGATTGTATTTACACTTAAAGAAATTTTTATTTCCTAAATGAATGGTTTTTAAAGAAATAACAATTCTTCCGTAATTGTGTTTCGTATCATTAGATTCCGAAATCTTAAATTTATTTTATAAAGTAAAAATATCGTGGTGTTGACGATAGACGAATGCGTGTCTGAAGTTCCATTAAGACAATTTTCACTCTGAGAAGAGTGGACGGTTCATAACAATCACCCTTGAAGTAGAGAAGGAACGCGTGTTAAAAATTATGTTTTTAATATTTATTCCAGTTGATTGTGTTCATATATCTGAAAAGTTTAGCTTGTTACTGTCTTTGAATTATAAAGACTTTGTACTAGTTATGTCCAGATAGAAGTGAAAGAGGATTAACGAAATAAATTATTTTTGAAGTATGTCGGAGCATAAAGAAAATGGGCATCTATAAAGCTATGGGCATCTATGGAGCATTACCCCAGTAAGGAATGTCATATTTGTCAAGGTGTACATGATAGCTCGTTGAAAACGTCATTCGTAATTGAAATCATCGCACGATCGCATGCTCAGAAGGTGCATAATGGCCTCCTGATCACTATGAATTGGAAAAGAAGGAATAAGGAAAGCAACAAATGACGTTTCAGCAATTAGCACTGCTATTGCTGCGCACAAAAGGAAATCGATTTGGTGTATTTATCTAGGAAAAAATAACAACGGAAACTGTATTAAACATTTGGGGGGAAATATACTCTTCTGTGCGTATTTTAGTGTACACACCACCATCTATGGCTTTCATATGTGGACGAAATGTTGCAATAGCCGCCCCCGTGCATGATACATGATGCCGTGCATGATTTCTTAAAGATGTTGCTCCATCAATGGACCAAAATGAAGCACCCATTCAAATATTTTTAGATATTTCGGAAGTTTTGACGTAATTGTCCATAACATCTTGCTATCAAAATTACCTTATGGAATTCGTGGTATCGCCCTAGATTGGATAACCTCGTACTTTAAACATCGATCTCAGAGAGTAGAAATACCGTACTGGCATGAATGGACATTATTTACATATCTTTCTAATTCTATACAATTGAATGTGGGGTTCCGCAAGGCTCGATCTTAGGTCCTATCCTCTTTCTGTTATACGTAAACGATACGCCCTCGTCTAATTAAAACCGAAGAACAGTTCTGTTTGCCGATGACACGAATTTTCTTTGCAACAAAGAAACCAAAAATAGTACGATTTCAGAAGCTTCAAATTGGTTTTGTAATAACAGTTTAATAGTTAACGAAGGAAAAAACAGTTTCAATGCATTTTTGAATTTCAAGTCAGCAATCGCAAGCTCCATTGAAAATGATTAATATTAGCAATTAGCTGATTTGTAAGGTAACAATATTTCTAGGTCTCTCAATTCAGTCAAACCTCAAATGAAATGTACGTATAACAGAATTAAACAGTGAACTAAGTTCATTATGCTACGCGTTCAAAATTCTTTCAAATTCCGTCAGTTTCATTACGTGTATTTGCAAATGTGCATTCCCGCCTGAGATGTGGCATAATATTCTGGGGTAGCTCATCATGTAGTACCCAAACCTTTGGATTTGCAAAAGAAAATTATTAAAATAATAAAAAAATGCCATCCGCGTGATACCTGCAGGCCTCTCTTCATTGAGCTCGGAATCTTACCATTGCCTTGCTTATTTATTTACGAATCTGTAATTTTTGTCAAAACTGACTTACTTAACAGCGGGAACATATTTTCATGCAATACTGATATTTATGATTACAACCCACGTCTTAGAAATCACATTCATCAAGTGTCAGTATGAACAGTTCACTACCAGAAATCCACATACAACACATGTACGTTACTTTACAACGCATTGCCAGATGACATTACACATTTGAAGTCGGTACACAAATTTAAGTTAAAAGTAAAATATTTTCTGCTGCAAAACTGTTTCTATACAATTACAGACTACACTGATTATCAAAAAGAAAAATAATGTTTATTTTAAGGCTTCCGGGTCAATGACTCCCATCTCGATCATCTTTTGGTCCAGTTTCCCTGATACATTGAGCAAATGCTGAGATGGCCCCTTGTTTTGCTTTTAGGTGTAAATGTAGCTTCACTATGTATGCGCACATTTTGTTGAACTCTCCTTTTGCTTGTAGTGGTAGGAGCAGAGGTATGGGCGAGTTACTATTTTGTTAGTAATGCAGAAAAGTCAAATTTGCAGTTTGTTTACCGTTGCAAATAAGTTTTCTATAACTTGGGAACAAAAATTCTAGTTTTTCAGATGTCGCTACTGTCGCGCTTTTTTTAAAAAAATATAATTATTATAATTTTAAATTTGTTTATAAGTTTTATTTATTTTTCAACTATTTATAGTTAAAATGATGGGAAGGGATTCTGGAAATCAAGAAAACGTGCGCAGATTATCTTCTCCTCAATACGTCACATACAGTTTTTTGACGAAATAAATGTAAATGCACGTGTGTATATTATGTATAATTTGCATTTCATATACTTTTTAAGTCATCCCTGAAATCAAAGAAAAATGAACATAAGGCATTCAAATTTCATTTTCACTATGTATATTAAATTGTTTATATTTTTTTTTACCGCGGTTGAGTGTATTTCGATTGTGTGAACTTTCATTGAGTCCTTAAGAAACAATGAACGATTGTGGACGTCAAAAGGCGTATTACTTTTTTAACGTAGCTCAGGCACGTTTTCAAGGTACCACACTTGGATGAGAATTAAAATCGCATAATGAAAGTCGAAGGAAGGTTTGTTAGTCGACGCTGCAGTGAATCTTTTTGTTCGTTTTCAGATGTTATTTTGAAAATTTCAAACTTTCACGCTTCATATGTGATTCTCTGAATATGTAAGAAATTGTGATGATTGAAACGCTTAATACCTGAATTATCAGTGGGCTTGAACCGTCTATATAAGCAGACTAGTTAAAATTTTCATCAATCTCGAGTGTGACGTGTTTCTATACAATTACAGACTACACTGATTATCAAAAAGAAAAATAATGTTTATTTTAAGGCTTCCGGGTCAATGACTCCCATCTCGATCATCTTTTGGAGCAGTGACGAGAGTGATATGTTCTTTACTCTGTTTGAAAAAATATCCATAAACAATGCGAAACATGTGGATAAATGATAAATATCTCAATAACCTTGTTTAATATCCGGTTTACGATCATTTTTCTTATGTTTAACTAAAAGCTACTTTAAA